TCCTTCAAAAACTAAAAAGAAAGTTCTTGAAGAGTTATACAGACTTGGGCAATAAAATAAGTGTAATGAAGATGAAAACAAAAAGTGAAATTTTGTAGAACTCCAAAATAGTAAAGCCAAAGTAATGGGTGCATTGCTTTCTTATATTTTATTATTTCATGACTCTTAAGTATAGTTTCGTCTCAAAATTTATATACTGCAGTTTTTTTTTTAAATGTTCTAATCAATTTAATAAAATTTGAAACTATATAAAATTATAATAAATTATTAAAATAAAATCTAAATAAAAATAATCCGCAGCGTAGCGCGGGAACTAACCTAGTATAGAACAAAAGTATTCCCCATCTAATTTGATAAGAAACAAAAGAAATGTATTTTTACGTAGAAACTTTCTTTTTATTATTTTAATTTTTTTTGTTATCATTTACAATGACAATTTATTTTATTCTCTCTCTACAGTAATTTTTTTAATTTATTTTCGTACAATTTTTTCTATTTTTTTTTTCCTTTCATTCCTATTATTGTTACGCAAAATCTTTCAAAATCATAATTCCTTATTGTTAGAGATATTAATATATAGGTTTTCCTTTTAGATAAATCTTTCAGTTCAATAAAAAAGAAATCTTTCAAAACCAAAAGGTCTAGTTCAACAAAACTTCCTTTTAGCTAATTTTCCCTTGTTTTTTTCCCTTTTGCCATCAGGAAATAAAGGTTTCTATGAAGAATATAGATTTGAGTTGTGCTCTAGAGATCTACGGAATTCTGCAAGACCTTATCAAATTCTTTTTAGATTTGGATGTGATTTTTGTTCATGTTCTTAGATCCCAAAACGGTGAAGCTGATAAGATCGCAAAGACAGCTTTAACCAATGTTGTAACCGGTATCGGTCCACAATCGATTTAATGAATGATATGAATTTTAGACCCAAAAAAAAAGCTGTGCTCTGGTAAAAAGGAGACAGATGCATTTTGACTTTAAAAGTGTTTTTGCGAAAAATATGGGCCAGGCTTTGTGTTATGTAGCCTTTTACACTCGGTGCAGGCAACTCGCTTTAATTTAAATAAAATAGGCTAAACAGTTCAAAAGATATTGGTTAATTATATTGTTGTAAAAGTTTTGAATTATGTAATTTTATCAGAGATTAAGGTAGCTATCAAGAACATCACTGGAATTCTG